GTATTTGTAAATGTGTAATATGTAATTACTTTCATGTATGTATGTATGTATGTATGTTAAGTGTATTCCTAAATATTATTATTATTATATTTATTATATTTCTCATATATTATTACTGAATATATTAATTATTACATTACTACTGTTTTGTATTATTACATGAGATTAATTACAACAAACATTTTATTCATATTATAATTAAAACTAAATATTATGTTCATGGAATTTTTCTCATTTTTTAAATTTGTATTGATTCATTAATTCCTAAAAAAACAACAATAAGAGCAAAACAATATTTTTCCAAAGGTTTAAGTAATAAATATGACATTATTTTAAAAATAGAAAGTTTTACTGTATATAAAGTGTGAAATACTTTATACAGAAAGCATGCTAACAAAGAAATAGATACTCGAGGCAGACCTGTGAAATCTAATAAAAATGCTGATACTCAATGTGACATGTGTGGGCAAGCGTTTGATTCAATCACAGCAACAATAAGGCATAGATTTAAAGTCCACCCTAATTCACCAGCAAAATTTTATTGTCATTATTGTGGAATGCAGTTTCCTCTAAAAGTATGTTTCCTTCCTGATAGTAAGTGTATTTTATTTTTAATTTCCTAAACTAATTATATCTCTTGATAGACGCATAGAGATAGTCATCAAGCGTCGCACGATTCGTCAGAAAGTGAGAGGAAAGAACAACATAAAAAATGTGAAGACTGTGATGTATTATTTTATAATGAGAAAGCTTTAGATTATCACTATCGTTCTATACATAAAAGGTATAATACGATATTTTTATTCATTATTTGTTATAATATAAAATTTTATGTATTTAAGTCATACATTAATTTTACAGAATGGTACATCTTTTTCAACCAATTGCAACACCACCTCCTAGCAATAAAATCAAAGTGAATTCTATGAACGATGCTCTTAGTGTATATTATTGCCATTTGTGTGGAGCAGAGTACATTATAAAATTCAATTTACAACAACATTTGGAGCGAGCTCATACTCAAGTAAAACAATATATATACACATATAAATAGCTAGAAAGCCTTATTAACATGTTCACGACCATGTGTCACATATATGTGATATTGTTGATTAGGATTGCTATGATGATATTAACATATATTTGGCTTCTGGTATACTCTATTATCGCTTTGGCTAGATCAAAATACTACACATATATGACATGTATTGACCATGGTCGCAAATGTGTTAACAATGCTTTTGTACTCTTAGGTTTAATCTTGTGTTTTCAACAGGAAGAAAGAGAAGCTGTACCAGAAGATTTAATTAAATGTACTGTCTGTGCTGCATTATTTTGCAGTAAGAAAGCATATGAAGTGCACAATAGCTATCATCAACCAGATGATTTGTATGTAACATCAGAGGAACAAAGGTTACAAACAGTAACTAAAGTAGACCAAGATTTTGATATTAGACGTGTAGAAGGTGTAGCTGATAAGTATCTTCCAAAAATTAATACACCTAAACGGCCTTCTAAAAGTTGCAGACAGGTATAATAATTAAATTGATTAACTTTTTTCGTTATTGTCGTCAATAAAGCATTTATTCTATAGGCTAAAAAAACACAAAAACTAAATGTTAAACGAACAGAGAACGATTATCCCTCCTCTGACGATGAATCAACTGTTATTAATGAATCAAGTGATTCCGAAAGTGATCTTCCCTTAAAACAAAGGATTTGCAGCTAACGGAAGTCGTTTATTGTTTTTAAGATATTTACAAATATTGAAGATTTTTCAAATGTCACAATTGTGTTAAAAATGGTTGTCAGTATGAAATTTTTATTATTTTTGTTTTCAAATTTATGTATTGATATGTAAAATGTATGTCTGAATGATTGTAGATGATCAATACTATATTAGTATTTTTGTAACAACATCTGCGTATATTTTCATTTATTTCATTTACCCTTCTATAAAATCATTTACTTTATGTTAACTAATATGAATTTGTTGTATTTAATATAAAAGAATTTCTATATAAGGTAAATAATATTATTACATCTTCAACATATTTAATATAGCATACTCTAAATCTGACAAAAAATTTAAATATTGTAAAATGATTATAACGTGTAGAAATAATATTTTTTCATGTTTATAAAAGAATCCAATTCATTTCTTATTCTCCATTCTAAAATAAAAAATAAATTTTTTTAAAGAAAATATTTATAATTGAAATATATATATATATATTTTATTCCTCAAGGGGCACGAAGCAGGAACAGCAGCAATATTAACTTTATTTTGTTTTTCCTTTTCAGAATTCATAACAACCAAATGTTTTTTATAAAATAAATCTAAATATTATAATTAATTGTTCTTTATCAAATGTTTAATAAATATTTCATTAATAACACAGAATAATCGTGTTTAATCTATTGCAAAGCCGTTAAGATAATTTTTAAAAATCCCACTTCCTTATCCTGTAGCCAATGTGTCAGTAATGTCGGTTTCTACCTGTAGATAAAGTCAATTTTTATTTATTATTAAAAATCGTTTAACTATACATTTTATTAAATTCTTTTATTAATATCCGTGATATTCTTTTTGTAAATATTCAGTTAGAAGCAAGCCGTAATAGAAGTTGCTCGATAAAATATTTCAACATTATAATTTAGTGAACATTGTAAATAAATAATGTATTGAATAAAGAAACACGCTACAACTATTATGACATATACCTGTAGATATAGTAGAAAATTTAACCAAATTTATTAATTTACAGTATTTACTGATTGTTATATTTTTCATTGCTAAGATTGTCAATTTTATAATATGATTTTCAATCGTTGTAAACATTTATTCGATTCATTAAAAGTTCTTCAAACAGGACATGTTTTGTCTTCTCTTTGTAAAAGTAATAATAAATATAGTTTATAAATTACCAACCAAGCTGTACTATCCCTATCCTTCTTATTCCCATATATCTGTACTACTCGCCTCTCACGTTGGTGCTGTCGGCCGGAGGTTTAAAAGTATCAGGAACAAGTGGAGACGTTCACTCGTGCTCGGCTCAATTTCGGTACGTAATAGAAACATGCTGAAACTGAGCCGCCGCAACAATCAAGCCGACGAGTGAACGTCTCTAAATAGGCGAACTGTACAGAATGACTAATTCCTCATTTATTCTTTCATAATAATTGAAAGCATACAAATGCTTCTTCAAGAAATGATTAAAATAGTTGATTTATTAATGTACAAATTAAAGTATAACTTAACTAACATCTTAATCAACGCACTTTTATGGTTTCTATAAAAGAATGTTTAAAAATCAGTAAATTGCTCAGTAGTTCTAGTGTTAATGATAAAATCATAAACTTAATAAAAGATCATTTTTGTTTATTTTATGAAATCACATTTTGTTTGATATAACAAAAAATTTCTGTTCCTTTGTGTGGTTGACTTAATAGCCATTGTGATCTGTCTATAGTCACTGT